AATATAATCTACAAATCTACATTCATCTGTTAAACACTGGTTCCCAGACAACATATAGCTGTTCCTTCTTACAGACAAAAGGAACAAAAGTTGCTACCTGTGGGTTCTGAGGCTGATCAAAGAGGGGTTTGGGGTTCTTGTAAAGAAAGCAAGGTGAAAAGGAGAACTGCCCAGTTTCTGCCTGACAGGCATGTTTATATTAGAATGCAAGTCTTATTTTAGTTGATAGGTTCAAGCTATAATTAAGATAGGAGGGGATTCTGTGCCCACTTTTACTGCCTTTGGACCCTCATCTTTATGGGGAATAAAGAATGTGACACAGAAAAGAAAAATGCAAAAAGTCTTAAAGCTTGTACTAATAATTTTTAGAGAGAATTCTTAGAAGAAAAAAAATAGGATAGCACTGTGAACAGTGAGTGATATTAAAGGTTCAAACTCACCAAGACTACTTAAAGCAATAAAGACAGACTGCCAGGAAGAATAAAATTTTAAGTGTTCATTTACTGCATTACTTACTGGAGGATGAGGGCACACGAGGGTCAGAGTTGGTTTACATGACTTTGTCTTGCATTTTCTTCTAGAGAAGCCAAAATCCTTCCCATAAAAGCTCTTACCAATCTAATTCTTTTTCCAGACCTCTCACTTCCTGAACACCCTCTCAAATGTCAGCAGGCTTATGTGGTAGGAGGCTTAATCAAGGGAAGAAATACTTGCTTATTGCTATGACTGTTTCTTGCACTCCTGATGTAACGTTTTCACCCCAATACGTGCAGCAAGTGTCTCCTGGATTGTGCTTACTGTAGTCACTCTCACTGGGATAAGTAGTAGGAGGCCAACACAGTTCAGGAGGAATTTACCCCATTGGAGGACAGAGCACAGTTAGGCAACAGTGAATATTATGGAAAATATCCTTGACCCTTAATTGCCCTAGGTACTGCAGTATTGCACAGTATATGATATAACATATTAGAGGCTGAGCAGTTTGTCTTTAGTCTGGTTTGGAAAATAAGGTTTCAGCTTTCAGTTGCAAGAGGCAAAGGCACTATGTACAGCAATATTGAAGAGGGAAGGAACACTGAATGAGAACGAGTCACAGTCAGCCTTCTCTCTTATTTCACATGAAGCAGAGTATATTGTTCAGTTACACAAGTGGACACAGTATCTCACCTTTGCAGCAAAGAAGCAATGAGACCCATTGCTGAATGCAACCGGACAGTTTGGCACGTAATTATCATTTTGTAAGACTGAATGGGCTTCACAGGCCTCATTGTAATTGCAGTAGATCCACATGAATTTCACAAACCAGAAGCTGAACTCAGGTTTTGCCCTTAGCAATAGATTGTGGTTTGTACCGTAAGTACGTAGAAGTGTAAACCTAACCTGTATAGTACTCCTGAAAATCAGTTTTCATTTTCAATTTGATGACAATTTTTGGAGTGAAAGGATTTTTTTGTGAAGTTTTTGATCTGAAGAACATGCAAATGTTGCTTGCCAAAATGCTTCAGTGTTTCTAGGCATGCTAACATTTTTTCCCTTCTTTTATAATAGTTTCTCCTCATAATAAATTCCTCAAGACCTTCTATAGAGAGCCCACTTTGATAAACCTCAGAGTAAGAAAAGGACTTGACCATTTTTCTGAGTTTGACTAGGTCAAGGTTATTTCATAACCAGTGTAAAATGAAATGAGATGGATAATGATCAGTCAAAATGAATGATTACAAGAAAGTAAACACCAGAGTCAGTGACTGTGGATACATCTGCACCTCATGCTAGTATGCAGGACAGCAATGTCTGAGATGCTATTGTCTCAAACAGTTAAATGTGCCATGGTTAAGTACTGTGCAGAGGTCTTACTTCAGGTTCAGCAAAGTCACATTAGCAAAATCCACACCTGAGCCACCATGTCTATGCTGCTTCCAGTTCTGGAGCCAGGCATCTGAGCCCTTCCAGACTGGCTGTCTCTACATGGTGCTGCCTTGCCTATGATGAACGTGTCCTGAATGGACTACATGAATCCCTCAGTTAAACTCCCAGTGGTTGATACATATTTGCAACAGATTGCAGAAACAACTTATGCTGCCAGAGATTGCTGAGATAAACAATAAACAGTGCAGGGCTACTCATAGATAATACACATGAGCTGCCATGTTTAATTTCAAGATATGAATTAAGTAATGGCTTTATTAATGTTCCTTTTTCATTATCTCAAGTGTTCCCAGCTCATTTACACAAATTCTGTGTTTATTGTACTCTCCCCGAGAGTGACCAGCTAACAAATCTTCATTCAGAAGGGGAAAAAGGATGGTAAAAGCTCTCCTAATTGAAATGCTGTGATGCAGTGAAGATTACATGCCTCTGGCTGTTTCAGTTGCCTGATTGCTTTTAATGATTCACCATTGGTGCTTGATAAAACTCTTCATCTGAATCTACAAGTCTCAGTCCAGCCCATCTACTAGCATCATGTTTTTCCCACTTTGTGGGTGGCCTAAGAGATGACTAGCAGGGTTTCATGTAGTTTTCTCCAAGATAGCTCTGCAGCTTCAGTCCTGAAGAAATAGCATTGAATTAAAGTAGGAGATAGAAAAGCTAGAAGTAAAACAACTTCATGGCTTCCAAAAATACTAGGGACCAGAAGCTTAGACACTGTTAGCTATTGAGGCTACATTTCCTTCTGTATAGTTTTGTCAATTCACATTTATCAGAGGGAGCAAGAGGAAATAGAAATACTGCTAGCATCATGTCAAACTAAGCTGACTGAAAAAAAATGAAACTGTTTTAATGAAAATGTGCCCCTCACACCCCTGTTTGTTGAATGAGCTCTACAGCTTCTCAGTCAGTTGAAATGGCTGAACTGTTGGGGCAGGGACTGTTTCTTTACTCCCCATTTGTGTAGCACCTCACACAGTGAAGTGCAATCTGCCTCTGGGTCTAATTGCTGCTGCCAGAAAAGCTGCAACAAGGTGAAGGCATACATGGAACCAATCCACAGCTTCTTTTGAAGATGCTGCCAATATAAATAAAATGGGGGGTAAATATAATGGTAAAACTGGGGGAAGAGATGGTCATCAAGTTTGCAGCTTGCTCTGCACAAAATGTTTTGCTTTTGTCTTGCCTACTACAAATAAATAACATTTAAAGGCCAGACTTGCAGCAGATGGCCAACAGCTGACTTGCAGGAACATTTTCAGCATGTTCTTTTACCAGTCAGCCCTGCCTCACTACAAACACATGCTGAGCCCGTTCTGTCAGTATAGTCCATCACATTATGCTTGTCCACTGGTGCAAAACTTCCTGCTTGCATGTTGGATGTACAGCTGACACCCTTTCTTTCTTATTTTATTTTTTTAAAAATCTCAAAGCAAACAAAATTATAGTGAAGTTTTCTCTCTATCAGGGCCTAGACCCCAGCTCCTTGGTGACCTCCAGCATTCTTCTCTGTCAAGATCCCTACAAGATTCCTGCAACATCTAAAGCAGGGATCTCAGAGGATGATGTTATGATGTCAATGCTTACCTTGTGTCTTCTGTACAAAATATTCATGTGTATTTGCACATACATTTTAGTACCTCAGATTTTGGCAGAATTCAAGAGTTTTGTTTTAATAGGTAGAATTTCTTTTTCTCTCTCTTGAGTGAACTTGAATGTCTTCAGTCTCAGTAGGAACTAGTTTTCTCAGTTCTTATTTCCTCAAGGTTTTTAGATTAAACTTAACATGTGGCCTATTTTCCTTTTACAGGGCACACACATGTTTCAACCGTTTGGATCTTCCACCTTACCCCTCATACTCTATGCTCTATGAAAAGCTGCTGACAGCTGTTGAAGAAACTAGCACCTTTGGACTTGAATGAGGGGGTTCAGGCACTTCTGATGTTTTTATGGCTGATGATGTCACCTTTCCTGTCTACCATCCTTTGATCTTGGTTTCCATGTTTTTATTTTTGAAAACAAAATGAAACAAAACAAATCAAGATTAACAAAAGCTGTGCATGAAGAACTGCCACCCTCTACGATCTAACCTTCATGCTTTCATCCTCTGTTTCCAATGGACTGCTAGTCTGTATGCAATAGAAAAACAACTGTCTCAAGATTTCTGTATATCTCTACATACCTCCATTAATAACAATGAAAATACAAATGCAAGTTACAGTACACTTGACCAAATGTTAATAAATGTTTACTTCCACCTACGTTGATTAAAAAATAAAAAAATCCTCATCAAGCATTCCAAGCTTTTATATAACCACATCTTCTAAACCAATTCACAGCCCATTTACTTCTTAACTTTTGAATCCAGTTCTAGGAGTTGGTCAAATGTATCTTCATCCATCCTTATTTTCCCTGTATGTATTGTCCATCTGAGAGACACCTATGAGCAAAGCTGAAATTTTTATATATGAACTCATGATTCACATCAGTTGCATCAGCTGGAACTGGCCCAGATACATGGTGCAGATAACACCTTCAAAAACTAAAAAAACCAACCTGTAATGCAATGCAAAGCATAACAGCAATTGTTATGATGGTTGCTTGCCAGTACTGGAGAGAACTTGCACTTCAGAGATATTGGGAGGGGCATCTCCATTGTGATTTTACCACACAAGAAGCACAAGGTTGTGCACGCTCAAGAAGGATGTTTTATTATGTAGCATAAAGGACAAGGCTCCCTAACCTTAGTGTTGTATATGACAAGGAAAAGGGGGAGTAAGAAGAATGTTCTACTCTTATGAATACCCTTGGGTTCTGTTTACCATATCTTTGTTTTTCTGATGTTTAAAATGCTCCTTTCCAAATGAGAAGTCTAGACAATCCCATCTCCTGTGTCAGAAGCCATTTATTTTCTGTGAGGTTGGGCTAATCTATGGTTGCTGGGGGTGGTTTTCGGTTCTGTTATTTCTCTTTTCTTGTTCAGTGGAATTCTCCATATCCTCAAGAGTGGTTGGTTGTAGACAGGATGTTTTCGTCTAGGGTCTGTCAAATGAGAAGCTGCAGCGAATGAGAGTGCTTTTCAGGGATGAAGGGGACTGCAACTTGCTGTGGGTTAAGACTTTGTTGTGCTTCCTCTTGGAGGAAGCCCAAAGGCCCCCCCAGTCATGCTAGGTATCACTAAACTAAAGATCTAGCTCTTGCTACTGCAGACATAATCCTCTTCAGTTTGCATTCCAACTCTGAAACCAGGCAACAAAAGGAAAACAGCAGTAGGCTTGTCTTTGGATGGATTTTGCTGAGATTGTTACAGTCAACATCACTGCTCTGATGTGTTCTATTTATTAATCTTTGTTGCCCGTGTTTTCCAAGACTAATCTCAGATTGAAAGTGTTTGTCTTAACTGGGAAAAGGAAATACACAGTATCTTCTGACACTAAATATGCTAAAGGATGTGTGAAATACAAAGTGAGAGACTTGTGAAGGTAAGTGAAAAGGTAACATCATAGAGTCTAGCAGCTCACAGGAAATACCACACCCCCTTGGGGGCTTGTTACTGGTAGTTTTGTGTTAGCTATGCTTCAGAACACTGTAGAATCAGGAGATCAGTTCAAGGTCTAACACATCCAATTCGTCTACGTTTTCTCTCCAGAGAAAAAAATTGGATGCTGCTTTCTCACGTATTTTTATGATGGCTGTACAGAACCTCATCACACTTGAAAAACTGCATTCTAAGAGTCTTAAATCTTTCTCCTGCTTGTATTCTTAGGTCAATAGGTATTTGAAAGGTGATGGACCCAAAAACATGTTTCTAAGCAGAAATAGCAGCTTTTGTTAATGATACATAAAAAATCTGGAATATTTAAATTGCCCCATTCATTCCATTTCTGTGACATTTCAGCCACTTTTATACTAATTTATTGTATGGCTTTTACTGAGAATCTATTTTATAGTATGTTGTTATTATTCTTATTGAGTAATCATATTATTACAGTTGCATATGGAGGCTGCAGCTACAGGCAACTTCATTGTACCAGACACCGAAAAGAATATTTAGTATTTCCATAAATGACCTCTCAGGCATCTGTTCTACATGACCAGCCCCACTGCACAGCAGAGATGGAAAACTTGACATTCTTCTTAGGGCGTCTGTCACATGCACCTGAATTCCATCAGAAGAAGTCACACCAGGAGAGACTGAACATGAAATCCTCCAATGTATGTCATTTCTGCCTCTTCGCCGCTGGGCCCCAAAATCCAGTGATTCCTATGTGGTCCTTAATTTATTCCTGGTGATGTTATAAAGTTACCTGCACTATGTCGAATGTTGGATGTCTTCCAACATTAGAAGAAAAGAAAGAGAAGCATCCAACTGGTTGGTCCATGTTTGGCCAAATAATATCAAGAGCTGTCTCATTAACGTAGTAAAAAAGTTTAAAAAAACATCCAGTCTTTACAATGCTGTATAGTTAAATTTTTTTAAGTATTTTAAAGATATATTTTATTAAGAAAAAGTGAAACTATTTTTTGTAGCATAATAAAAGATGTTTGTATTTCAGAGACAGCATCAAACCCCACTGACAGAAACATGGAAGGCTTTCTCCTGAAATTATTCTTCACGACGTATTTTCACTCTCACCAGACACACTAAGTCAGATTATGTTTGCAGATGCCATCTCGAACACCTTGTGTGTTCCTGCTCTGGGAAACATACAGCACAGCCAGCTACTTCCCATCAAAATCCTTGATCCAAACTATCTTTCAAGCACACAACCTAATATTTTTTAAAGGTTGTTTTCTAAGTTGACAATGTCTTGCAGATTTTCTTGCAAGTTTTTGGGATCTAAAGCCAGGAATACAGAAAGACAGTTGGCTGTTTTCATAAAACAAAATAAAAGAAAACGCCATACTCAGCTTTTCTTGGATTCTACCATTCCAGTCCTTTCTCTCTCTCTTCCCAAATGCCCTACCCGAAAAGGTTTTCAAACATCATCTGTAGGGTATGTGCAGAGATCAACATTTCACAGTGTATTTCTCCATTCATTGTCATACCAGGGGCAGAATACAGTCCCAGCCTGGAGTGAAGGGGAAGCCATGCATCTAAGGGGCATTATGATGTTAGTGCGAGGCAGTGAATGGTGCTAACAGGAGAGTGAGGAACCAGCCTCCCTTGGCCTGTTATTTAACCTGCCCATTATGAAATTAATTGACTTTATTGTTGTTACACTTACGCAAGTCATACACACTTCCTTGTTCATCTTTTGATTCAAATGCTGTTATTCCCTAGGTCTTCATTTTCATTTGTAAAATGAAACTGACTGTTGATTACAGAAATTCTGCTTTCATTGTTTCCCCACAGGAAAGACTGGGAAGATAGAGCAGATTTACAGTGTGAAATAATCTTTTCAGCTCTTTCTCCTCAGTTCCCTTTAAACCTGGTGGTGGCTAGATTAAGATATGGCATCAGCATCAATAGATTTTTAAAATGCAAGTGAAAAATGGAAGATGCAATCTGACAGATTTCATGAATTCTAGTTTTGGATTGGGGTAATGAATATTGGGAACTTGTATGGTTTCAGAGGGTCCATGTGTTTCTTAAAGTGCTTGTCATGATGGTATTAATGGTAGAGGGAGGGAAGGGGATATTTCTGTTCATGAAATCCTGTTGCCATAATCTGACTATAAGAGAATGAAAAGAGACATTTTTAAATTGTCAGTAGATATTCCACCTTGAAGTAGTCTCACTGACTGTTCAACCAGATAACCTATGCAGGATTTGATCCAGTACAAACTGTACTTTACTGTTTACTGCATCAGGTCTAAACCTGACAAATGGTGCCACTTCAGTCTGCAGTATGTTACATGAGTGTTCTGTTTCACTCATGTGGCTGTATATATGCAAAACTTTACTTCTATGTTCTAGGGAGATCCGTAGCTATGACAAGGCAAGAAGTGAGTGGTCCAAACTAAATCAAACATCTAATGGAGAAGTAATTGCTTTTGTACAGGTCTGACACGGGGCTTTTTTTGCCCAGTTTGCTCAAGTGCCCGTGAACTTTTCAATGAAGTGTAGCTGAGGTTTGAGTTCGTAGTCTAGTCTGAGAGACAGCCTGTGGGGAGGGGGTGTTTGCTGGGTTTGTGTTTTGTTGTTCTAGTTTCACTGTAACAAATAGTTGATATACCTCTAGTTGCAAACAATAGGATACTGAATTTGGACATAAAAATCAACTCTGAAATAAGCTAAAATATAAATGCACAGGGGACGAGTGAAACTTGTCCTTCACTACTAATCCTGTGACTGCGGAATTTCAGAAGGACAAATTTGACTGGAAATTTGTTTATTTTCTGTTGAAATAATATTTGCCCTGTCTCCATAGTAATACTAATAGGGCTTCCCAGTCAAGATTAAACACTTTCAGTCAAATGCAGACCCACAGATCTTTCTGCAACAGATGCAGTGCTTTTTTATTATTCTTGCTGTACCTCAGTGTTCATTATTAAAAGATAAAATTACTGCAATATACTAAATCTGGGATACGTTTTCCAGTTGTCACAAGGTCCAAAAGATTTGATTGTTACTTTCTCTCTAGTGAATCATGCAGTTCCTTTGTTCTGGTAGAAAAACAGATGCCTGTAGATAGTAGATACTAGGTATAGTAAATATTGTACCATTAGCCAAATTCCCTGCAGCTTCTGATTTACCTAACAGAAATGTCTGTTACAGTTTTTGTTAAAGACTACATAAGGTCAATGGCAGGAAAGGTCCTCATTATTGGACTGGTTTTGCTTATATTGACAGAAAAATGTCACACAATACTCAGGCTGTGCTTTCTATTCAACCATATCACTATAGAGGAATGTCAATAAAATCACTTTGTTATGGCATTGTGTGGACTGTCTATTACAAATAACTTACTTTGTAGAGGATGTATGTTACTAGGGTGGATGGAAACTGGCACTGGTCAAAGTCCACTAGTTTCAGGAATTGTGCTTCCAGGTTCATCTCCTTTCTTACCATTTCCTCCAGGCCCTTCCACTATTTTTGTTCAGTTTCTCAGACTGCATGTCTAAAACTTGAGGTTCTCCAAATAAATGTGCATAACCAAAGCCCCCATGTGCTCCTAGACTACCCTAAGAGCAGCCCTGCCTTGAAAACATGTGAGATTTTTCCTCACTATAGAAAATGTCTGGTCAAACAGAGGGACAAAAGAAATGTAGTTACTCCTTACGCACACCTTGCTTCTAGGTATAATTACCGCATTATAGGTATGAAATGCAAGTGCAAAGATGATTTCCTAA